ATATATATATTGTTCTTAAATAAATATGTGACAATTCCGCCAAGATCTCTTCGTTAGTTGGAAAAATTGTCCTTAAATTTATTAACCTTAAATAAATTGTCCCAATTCAGTGCCAACTGCAATTTTCATGAAAGCAGCTTAGGGACCCAATCGTACAAGTTATAATAATAACATATTAAATTTCATTGTCCATCTTCGGTAATAATGAAGGGTACGTGGGAGGCTAATTATGTTTTTACGTATCATCAATAAATGACCAGAACTATAGAGAAGAAAATTAGAAGAGGATTATCCCCATTTGCATTTAGGGCATACAACTGGATAGATGTGGTACAATTAATAGGTGTACGTTTGGATGCTATTTGAGTTGCGAGTTGATCAACCACATAATCTCTCGGACCGCCCATAAGGATCTATTGTACGCAATCTTATTTTATATTTCTGTAATCAGTGACGGATCCAGTATTTTAAGATAATGGGTGCTCACTATTAATTAGTACTAGCAAATGATGGGAGAATTCAGATTGATATGGACGGATTGAATACGTTTTAGATAATACAGATAAATTTCCGAACCACTCATACTTCATACAGATAAAATGTAGATTGAATAACGAAAATTATGAATATTCATATTTTCTTGAATGGTATCATTATTGTGAGTATTCCAAATCATAATATAGGCTGTCAAATTTGGTGGTGGTAAATTAATTCTTTTTTTTTTTGTGCAACGAATAACTAAATGAATTGCATGAAAAAAAAAATGACAAAATTAAGAACAAAAGGGAAAGCCATGTAAAAGGGAGACAAAAAAGAAATTCAAAGAGTGCACTACATAAGAATCGAACTCCGGATCAGGCAGAATGCATACTTAGATTTCATTAACTAGTAGCACCCACATGTCTGTTTGAGTAATGGGTGCTTACCTAAATATATATATCCATTTCCTACGAAATTGTCTATAAAATTGTATGTTCAATACTATGAGCAATCGATTCTTGAGCACCATAATTCTTTACGTGGATCCATCATCCGCCCATATCTGCAAGGGGATGTTTTCACGGCTCGATCCCGTGATCACCTGGTTACATAATCTCTTGTTAGGTAAAAATAACAAATTCATTATTGTCTCAAAAGAGTAATTGTCTGTCTATAAGAATAGCAGACAACGGTCTTGTGGGATACCACAAGCTTATTACCAGTTGAACTAAAAGTTGAAGTAAAAAATGTTTGATGTGGAGTAATTAATGTCTATTTTTAGAGAACACAATAAGTTAAAAGAGATTTAAATTACACTTGTTCGAAAATATTTCAAACCTTTTACAGAAATAAGTTAAAAGAGATTTAAATTACACTTGTTCGAAAATATTTCAAACCTTTTACAGAACAGATACGTTCTTAAATATTCCATCTGTGATATCTTTTCACTAAAATAATTCTAGTACCTTTTCACCGTAAAATAATTCTTTAAATAATCCAATGTTACAAGCTACTATAACAAGGTGGTAGACTAAGTAGATATCGCTTTATAAACAATATGTATCAACGAATTAATTAAACTATAATGTCTCTCTATATATCTCTACATGGAAGTTGGTCACTTCAGTAGTCATATAAAGACCCTAATGCTATTGAGTTAATTTTATCCACATCTAATGTTTATACAAAACTATAAGAGTCACAAAATAAAATGAAAATATACTCCATATAACCATTGTTAACGGATCGAAAACATATAGTAGTAGAATTATGGTCCAAAATATAGGGAAGTGAAAATTCTATTTTGCTGATTTATCTCCGATTTCATTTTAACGTCTCTAGCTAATGCAGGCCCTTGTAACCTTGATTTGTTAGGATAGGGTTTTTAAAAAATTGACTTTTTAGCCTGTTAGAATTGAATATCTCTATTAAATGTTTTAATCTCAATTAGACCGTGATGATAAACCAGTTCACTTTTTAGGTTTCATTTTTTTATAAAAGGCACCTTCATATAGTCATGTATTCGATGATTTAAAAAAAAAATCATTAAACCATGTACAGGTGTTTGAAATTAAGTGGAAGTCCAGTCGACTTACGTTGAAGAGTCAACATGTGAGTTATGGTTAAGGCTAAAATGACACCCCATTCAGAGCTAGTTGGTTCTCTCTGAAATACGTGGAGGCGCAATAATTGATTGGACATCTAGGATAAAATACAGTTTCTGTGCTGGGTGCAAAGGATTGACATAGAGAGAAATTCCTTTATACCATAGGTGTTTTTTTCTCTTTCTTTTTCCTAATGAAAAATATTTTATGAAACCATATAGAGGTGGTGGAGACATATACTAATAAAACCTAAAAGATTTCAACCATAATTCGGTACAACAACAAACATTGTAGTTTGTTCTCATCTAAAGTCTAAATAGTGTTGAAAATAATAAATTTTGGGATGACAACATTCAAATTTAGGGAGGGATTATTGATGAGGAACATTTAAAGATAAACTGGCTATTTGAAATTTAGGAATAACCAAACTCCAAAAGTGTGGTGGGCTAGAAAGCTTGTTAAGAGTTAGGCATTTATGTTTAGACTTTAGAGCTTACTAGCATGGTAATGTCTCTTTTTTATTTTTATTTTTAATTTCTCTTTTCAGTTTTACTTGTTCACTTTCGCATATCAAGAAAAAAAAAATTATTTTTCTATTTTGCCTTAACATCAATTACTCGTTCCAAATTATTTTCCAAATTCATTAAGACTATACACCAATTAATATGGGTATCATGGTAAATTATGTACTTTATTTATTATTTCTTGAGGGGTGTGCAACGTCAAAAGTGAACAAGTAAAAGCGAACGGAGGGATTACTTTACATTTGGAGTTTTTCCATCACATTTGGAATTGTTAGAGTTGTAAAATTAAATTAATAGAGGCCGCACAGCATACTCCTAATATAGGCAGACATTTAAGACAAACACAAAAGTAGGTTAGCTTTTACGAAGATGCCGCTGCTTGAACTGAATCAGGATTTGGTACTTTTAAGTTGAAACCTTTTGGCCTAAAAGATTTTGTTTGGATTTTAACTAGTACTATACACTTATATTTTAAAAGATTCTAGTACTATGATTAAGTAACTTAAAGAATAATTTCAAGTAATCGTCTATAGAGTTCGAAAGGGAAATGTCACAAAAAATAATCTAATTTTCTCTGTGAATTAGAAATAATTTTTTTTGAAATAAGATTGACTTCAATATAGACATTTTGAATACGATTACAATATTAATATAAATATTTTTAAAAAATTGTAATGAAGAATTTAAAAAAATGTATCACAAGAATCATATTAAAGGCCTTTACTTCTCTAATAGTAATGTTGTAATGAAATGGAAGAATAGAGATAGTATATTAAGGTGATGTCACGACCCGGATTTCCCACCCTCGGGAATCGTGATGGCGCCTACTAACGAGAGCTAGGCAAGCCAACTTAATTAGCATTTTCATTAAGCACCTATTCCTTTTTAATAATTAACAGCATTAAATAAAGGCGACGGAATTAAAATCATAAGCGGAAGACTTAAATGTAGATAGATGATCAATAATACAGAAGTTCCAACACATATATCTCTACCCCGGGACTGGAGTCACATACTCATGAACATCTAAGGAGTACTACATACAAAGTATGAAAGAAACATAATCTGTTTATCTCGGGTACAATGAGATGACAGCCAAATGTAAAGATAGACGGGAGACGTCGGGCCTGCGGACGCCTGCAAGCTACCTCGGGTCTCTCTGGACTGAAGGTTCGCCCCCGTGCTAATGCTGCTGCTGCTGCTCAATACCTGGACCTGTGCAAAAATGCACAGAGTGTAGCATCAGCACAACCGACCCCATGTGCTGGTAAGTGCCTGGCCTAACCCCGGCGAAGTAGTGACGAGGCTAGACAGGACCTACCAAAAACAACCTGTGCAGGTGTATATGTATAAACAAGTACAATGAAATAACAACAGAAAATACCAGCTAAGGCAGGGAGGGGACATGCTTAGGGGAAATACAGATGAACACAATTTATCAGAAGTAAACACGAAACCACATCCGATCTCATAATCTATATAAGTGGTCGGCGTGCCACACGATCCCATTTCATAATATATATATCTAGGTGGTCGGCGTGCCACACGATCCCATTTCATAATATATAAGTGGTCGGCGTGCCACACGATCCCAGTTCATAATATATAAGTGGTCGGCGTGCCACACGATCCCATTTCATAATATATAAGGATTTTCCGGCAAGGGAACAAGCATCAATTCAACCATCCCTGCAAGGGAGAATACAAATAAACCATTAACTCCCGACAAGGGAGCAACAACATTAACTTACACGTCCCGGCAAGGGAGTAATTACAACTCTTCCTCTTTCGTTCATTTCTTACGTCTTAATCGTGTCATATTTCGAGCCAACACTCCAAGGAGTTTACAATTCATACTTTTTTTTCCTCTTCA